AGGTAGCATGACTGGGGGGAGAAACCAAAAGAGCTTAGAGTAACCTCTAAGAATTGCCATGAAATTCTGTCAAAAGCTTTGGCGAAGTCCACTTTGATAGCAATGTTGGCGCTTCCAGAAGTGTTGTCAAGGCAGTGAATCATCTCCTGAGTGAGGAGGATGTTTTCTTCCACTCCTTTACCTGCTTGAAACCCACTTTGCTCAGGACTGATGAGTTTGTGAAGGATTGAACCCAGTCTATTTGCAAGGATTTTAGTATTGACTTTGGAGAGGAATGTGGATAATGAGATCGGCCTGTAGTCTCCCAGAGATTTAGGGTTGTCCACCTTAGGAATCAGAGTGAGGAGAGTCGCCCCATAGGATTTAGGGATGGGCAAACCCAAGAAAAATTCTTGGGTTGCTCTAGTCACTTCATCATGGATGATGTGCCAGTAGGTTTTGAAGAAGGTCCCATTGTATCCATCCGGGCCTGGTGCACTATGAGAGTTGAGGTCCCAAATGGCCCCCCTTATTTCCTCCTCTTGTGGAACCGCACAAAGCATTAAGTTATCCTCTCCATTAATGATATTGGGAATGTATGAAAGCAGCTGCGGATCAATACTGACGGGTTCATCTGAGTAGATATTAGTGTAGTAATCTATTGCATGCAACGCAATGTTGCTGGCCTCCTCAATAGTCCTACCATGGTCATCCTTAAGAGAAGAGATCCTAAGCTTCTGGCGCCTATTTTTGACCACATTATGGAAGAATTTTGTACTAGCATCCCCCTCTTTTAACCACCTGATGCAAGACTTCTGCCTCCAAAAATCAGTTTCTCTTTTGGAGAGCAAGAGAAGTTCAGCATTGGACTTATTGAATTCAACCAAGGATTCAGGGTTCTGGTTTGCCTCGAAATGGTCTTGGGCCCTGCTAGCTCGAGATTCTGCCTCCTTAAGTTGATGGAAGATATTACCAAAGTCATCCCTGCTCCACTTGGTCAAAATGGCCTTGAGATTCTTGAGTTTTCTCCCAAGGCCTTTCATGCCATTGTAAGTTTTATTGTTCTCCCAGAAAGATTTGATGGTGCTTTCTAAAGTGTGGTGTGAAACCCACAAATCCAGGAAACGGAATGGTTTGGGACCAGAGTAAGTGTCCATAGAAAGTTCCAGGAGGAAAGGCCTGTGATCTGATGCTCCCTTGCTAAGCATAGAGAGGTGTACACGGTTAGCCATATCCATCAAATGTTGATTGCCAAAGATGTGGTCAAGTCTGCGCCATAACTTTCCTTGGCTTCGTTCCCCACTCCAAGAGAAATGCCCTCCTGAGGGATGAATATAGAGGAGATTAGAAGCTTCCATGCATTCTCTAAAATCCTCCACTGAATTATAGCAAGGATTGCAGTTCCCTTTGTGTTGGTCAAGACTGTGGATGCAGTTAAAATCTCCACCAAGTATCCAGGGGTCCATGCCTACGTTCCAAGAGGAAATTGCATTCCATAAGTTAGCTCTTTCAGCCCTGGTGTGCCTGCCATACACAGAAGAGATCCACAACGGGCTATGAAGTGCAGCTGAGTTGAATTGGCAATGAATGATTTGGGAGCCTTCAATTGTTTGGATCAATGTTAGGCTTGGTTCCTTCCAGAAGATCCACAATTGGTTATTAGGGTGGGAGGATGCATTGGTCATTGCCAACTTAAGCTTATAATCCTGCAGCTGGCTGTTATCAAGCAAGGGTTCCATAATTGCAATAAAAGAAAGATTATAAGTAGAGGATAAAGTTTGAAGTCTGGGTGAAGACTTCTTTATTCCACGACCGTTCCAAAAGAGCAAAAACATCAAAGAGATTTGGGTTTAGTTGTGGTTTTGCTCCTCAAGGACATGCTAAGAGGAGGCAGAGGGGTCTTGACACCTCTTCCCTTCATGAAGGGGATAGCATTGGTTTTAAGCGATTTACTCTCAAAAGCGTGCAGTGGGCTCTTATCTTGAACTCGCTCACCTTCCCCATCAGAGTGAATACAGGTAGGAGTACCTGGAATATCAGTGTCCTCAACATTGGAGAGGAGTGCCAGGTAGTTCAGAGGTGAGGAATGACCATTATTTGCTCCTACCTGTTTGCAAAAGGAGGCTTTGAAAGTTGGCAGCTTAGGTGGACTGGAGTGGCCCTTTGATGAGGGGCTTTGCACCAATGGGCTAATATTTGGCGTAGCTTCAGGTTTGGACGCTGAACTTGGGTTTGATCCAGTAGTATTATTAATATTATAATAGGGCATGTATTGTTCTGAGCACCCCAATTTGGATGGGCCCGGTATGTCTAAGCAACTCTTGTCCTTGTTCGTTTGCCCATTAGTGTGAGTGTTGCTTCCCATCTTGTTATGAGCTGGTGCCTTACCTTTTCCCTGAACACGGACCCATTGGTGTGTGTTATTTGGCCTGACTTCCTTAGCATCTTGCTGCCTCCTCTTTGTTCTCCCGCTGGTGAGGACTTTTCCGACGGGCTGGGAATCAGTTTTGCAGCAGTGACCCCATCGACCACAAGCCAAGCAAAAAGGAGGAAGATCATAAATGATTTTAATTTCACGCTCCCAGGCTGGAGTACGTACAGAATAGAGGATTGCCTGGCCTTGGACGCGTCCATCTCCACCAACACCCTGGCAGTATTGAAGTATCCACCCCTCGTTGTGGTCTCATCCATTTGAATGGGTTTTCCCAGAGTTTTGACGACCGAGAAGAGGGATTGGGCGCTAGTAAGGAAGAAAGGAATATGTTTAAGTGTGACCCATACAAGAACCATAGGGCTGTCACGTTTATCTTCTAGGAGAGGATCCCATTTAGAGAGATACATGTGATGGCCATTTGCTCTCCAGGTTCTTCTTGATAAAAGCCTTAAAAAATCTGTTTGTGATCTGAGTGTGATAACCACGATGAATCTGCTGATGGAGATGACACGAAAACCAGAGAATCCTCCCCTCTCCAAGGATTTCCCTATGTCTGCAATCTGCAAGTCCCTTGCAAAACGAGCTTTAATGGCGTATGGGAAAGAATCTCCAATTTTCCTTAATTCCTCCGTAGTGAAGGTGATCGTTGGTTTTCCCTTGCTGATGGACGAGATGGATCCTTTCTCCTCCACAGTTTTGAAAAGATCGGAGAATAGCCTCACCGGCTTGCCGGAGACCGGCGGCTTTCTCTCTCCCTCACTAGAGAACATTTTTTCATCCTTATATATATATCATATATATATATATATATATATATATATATATATATATATATATATCTCTTCATTGTAAATGGCTCAAGGAAGGAGATGCATCTACCAAATACTTTCACTCCCTTGTCAAAGGTCGTCAAAAGAAGAACTTGATTAGCAAGATCAAGAAGGAGGATGGAACCTACACTTCTCATACTGAGGAAATTGGGAACACATTTTTGAGTCACTTTCAGAATCTCTTAGGAATGGAATACAACTCCATTCCTGAGAGCACTTTAGTGAACATCCCCACCCTTATCACTGCTGAAGATAATTCTTTGTTGGTTGAACTCCCGGAAGAAGAGGAAATCTGGGAGGCTGTTTGGGCTCTGAATCCAAATAGCAGTGCAGGTCCCGATGGATACAATGGGCAATTCTTCAGGCAAGCATGGCATATCATTCGGGCGGATGTTATTAAGGCTTGCCAAGAGTTTTTTCTTGGAATTCCTGTCCCTAAAGCTTTTGGAAGTACTCAAATAATTCTCATTCCCAAGAAAGAGGGTGCTGCTGCCATTGGCGACTATAGACCCATTTCACTATCTACCTTTATGAGCAAGATAATCACCAAAATTTTAGCAAATAGACTCTCACGTCTTCTTCCCAAAATTATCTCCTCTGAACAAGCTGGATTTCAAAACGGAAAAGGTGTGGAGGAACAGATACTCCTTACTAATGAGCTTGTTCATAGCATTGAGAACAGCAGTAGGGGAGGAAATGTTATTGTCAAGCTGGATATGGAAAAGGCTTTTGATAAATTATCTTGGAATTATCTTCGGGCTGTTCTGGGGAGATTTGGTTTTGATATCTCGGCAGTGAATCTTCTTATGAGCAATTTGGTAGGTACCTTCATGAGTGTTAAGGTCAATGGCTTCTCCAAGGGCTTTTTTCAGATGAAGAGGGGAGTGAAACAAGGAGACCCTCTCTCTCCTTTTCTCTTCATAATAGCCACAGAAGGATTCTCTAGAAGCATCAAGGCAGCTATTGACTCCAAATTTCTTATGCCCTTCAAAGTTGGTAAGACTCCTGTGGTTTCACATTTGAGTTTTGCGGATGATCTCATATTATTTGTCAATGGGAATGTCCGTAATCTTCTTAGATTACGAAAGCTTATTGAGAAGTATGCTTACGACTCAGGGGAGACTATCAATAAAGGCAAATGTAGGTTTTATTGTAGCAAATCAGTGGCTCTTAATAAAGTCCTGAGAATGGAGGCTGCCCTAGGGATATCGAAAGGTACACTTCCTTTTAAATATCTTGGTAGTCACATTGGCAAAGGAAAGTTGAAGAAACGTGATTGTGAACCATTACTGACCCACATTACTGGTTACATTGATAGTTGGTATAATAAATTACTAAACCCCATGGGACGACTTCTCTTAATAAAACATGTTTTGTCATGTATTCCTATGCACATTATGGCTGTTCAAGATGTTCCCTTAAGCATACTACGACACATTCAAAATCTGATGGCAAATTTCTTTTGGGGTAACAAGAACGGAAAGAAGAAATACCACTGGGTGAAATGGGAGGAACTATGTAAGGACAGGAAGAGTGGAGGTTTAGGGCTGCGATCGATGGAAAATATTCAAAAGGCCTTTTCCCTGAAGCTTTGGTGGAAATACACGAGGGGTGGTTCTCTTTGGGCCACTTTCATGTATAAAAGGTATAATCGGCAGGGAGATTTCACAGCTAAGGCCATTGACTCTCCTATCTGGAAGCGGATTTGCAGAATTCACTCAATTGCCCTTGAAAATACCTTTTGTAATGATGGCCAGTTTTTTTGGGAAGATGGAGAATTTACCTTCAAGAAGGCATTCAAGGCAGTGAAAGCAGAGGAACCAGGTTCACTATCTTTCTCTCTAGCCTGGAATAAATTGCAGATTCCAAAGATCAAGCTTTTCCTTTGGAAATGCTTATCCCATATCCTCCCTTTTGCTAATAATATGCATAGATTTCCTTTTGAAGTTTCCCCAGGCTGCTATCTTTGTGGAAGAGGTGATAATAGTGATAGCCATGTCCTTTTACACTGTACAGTCTCTAAAGAGGTGTGGAGTTTTTTTGAAGCTCTTCTAGGAGGACCAAAGTTGAGATCAAACATAACTATCATCCAACATCTCATAGAGTGGTGGTGCAGTCATGATAAAAAAAACTCTCAATGGCATGTTGAAGCTGGTACTTCCGGGCTGGATTTTATGGAATCTATGGAAGAGGCATAATAAAATTAAACATGATGGGAGGAAGGTGGAAGCAAAAATGGTGATTATGGATGTCTCTAACCTCATGCAATCATGGATTTGGAGCAATAAGAAGGTTAGGAGAACGATCAAGCGAGCTGAAGCTGAGGATATTGGCCTGAAATGGATGCTTATTCCTTAAATTTTGACCTTTCTTCTTTTTGTGATTGTATTTTGGGTTTTTTGGGCTGTAGGCTCTCTTTAACCTTGTAATCCTTTCTTCTATTAATCTACTTGGTAAGGGTTTCCTGGTCCTTACCCCATCGAGTTTGATGGTTTCCACCGGGTTAAAAAAAAATCTTCATTGTAAATTATAAATACAAGAGAATTTCCTCTCAAATAATTCTTTCATACTCCTTCCGTCCCGCAAAAAAGTTCCCCTTTCTTTTTTCATCTGTCCCACAAAACACTTACCTTTTCCTTTTAAAAAGTCACTTTTACCCCTACAAAAATCTTAACATATCTATCACATCACACTTTTTCTCTACTAATCTATCCATTCCATCCTACTTTATCCATCACATCAAAGTGCAATTTTAGAAAGTTAACACCAAAATACACTCCCCTTAAATCCTCAAAAAGTCAAACCGGGAACATTTTTAAGGGACAGCGGGAGTATTTGATAAGAACATACTCGATCTATATATATATATATATATATATAGAGAGAGAGAGAGAGAGAGAGAGAGGACATATACAGACGTACCTGCAGAGGTTCCAAGGGTAGGGGAGGTTGGTGGTGTTGGCATGCAAGGCTTGTTGGACATGATGAAGATTGAGGTACTTGTGGACGTAGCCTTGCTCACATGGATCATATCCGAAACGCCGTTTGTTGAACTGTACAGATGACCGGTTATGGGAGTAATCAAAGCAGACGGGGCCATAGATGTTGTAAGGGTCAATCATATTATCTCCCTGCTCCTCTCTATATGCTGCACTTTGGAAATGGTCGCATGCTGTTTTGTCGTAATTTTTGGGGAGACAGTGTTCTTGCAGTCCCGTGTGAGTTGCATCGGAGATGAGGGCATGGCTCCACATATAGTCAATGCTGCCTCTATCCAATGTGGCATCACTCATTAACCCATTCCCTATCTTTATTTCATCAAATCATCAACCAATGCAAGCAATAAGATTAGTATGACAATGTAATATACTCCCTCCTCTCTTAAAAAAGTTCTTGTTTTGACTTTTTGGGAATTTAAGGGGAATTCATTTTGTTGTTAAATTTTCAAAAATATCCTTTGATGTGATGGATAAAGTATGATGGGATGGATTGATTAATAGCGAAAAAGTGTAATGTGATAGGTATGTTAACATTTTGTAGGGGTAAAATTGACTTTTTAAAAGGAAAAGAGAAATGTTTTGTGGGACGGATGAAAAAAGAAATGGGAACATTTTTGCGGGACGGAGGGAATATAACGCAGCTAGGAATACACATAAACATACCATAATTCCCTTTAGCTGAATCTTAAAGGTCATATTGGGCATATTATTTCTCTTCACAATCAAATCTGCAAGCTCTGGGATGTAGTACCCTATGATCCATTACCATAATAAAGCATATATCTTGATCAGCTAGTTTTAGACCACTCATCAGCTCTTATAATAATATTGATAACAACAACAACAACAACAACAAAATGTTTCTTTTAATCTTAGAACCTCCAATCATATTATGATGTGGAGCATTTACAGTGCTCCGTTCATAAAATGGACGTAGCCAATCGGCGAAATGGGGAGGAGGACAGGGGGTGTGTTGTGGGAGGGGGTAGGGGTAGGGTTTAGGAGGGAGTGGAGGAACCATCAAATTTACAAACGGGGCACCGTATAGTAAGTATCTCGGGTTAGAAATTTAGAATATAACTCAAGATTCCAAGGTCAAAAGATCCTTGCCAAAATAATAATAATAATTATTAATAAAAATAATAATAATCCCTCCATCCCTAATTTGATTACAAATTGCGGGTTACGGAGTAAAATTTCCTACTTTTTGAAATCATTTTATTTACAAATTGGTATATCAATAAGATATAAAAATTACATATTAAAAAACTACGTCAAAAGTTCTACAAAACAAGAGGTGATAAGAATATTTTATTTTATCAAATACTCAATAAAATCGCGTAAACAAATAAAAGTTATCGTGAGTAGAGAGAAAAAAAATCTACTCTATTTAGGGACAGAGGGAGTAATAATAATAATAATAATAATAATAATAATAATAATAATAATCAAGCCTTCTTCTCAAACCTGTCACTTTTGAAATCACCAAGTCTTCGCCTTAGACCTGTCTCTTTTGAAATCATCAAGTCTTCCCCTCAGACCTGTCACTTTTGAGATCACCTAGTCTTTCTCTCTGACTTGTCACTTTTGAATTATTGGGAAATCCAAATGTAAACTCTAAATAATTAACCGGTCTTCTGCAACATAAGTCCTCCTAGTTCTCCTAGAGTACACGGTCAAGTGCCTGGTGCACACCCCTTCAAGAGTAACCGGTCAAGTACCCTGTTATATGATGCAAATCTCATATGATAACTGGGTTAAGTCCCAAGAGTGGAAGGGTTTACATAAGAGTTCTCGAGAGGGTTCTAGGAAAAAGAAGGCCGGCCCTCTTCAAATGGAATGGTCACCAATTAAGGAGGCTTTCATGGTCCAGTCGCATTCCTTTGTGTCTGGTTGAACTTCTTGAATGGTTAAGTTTCTTGCATAAATATTTTCTTGCCTGGTCCCCCTTTGAAGTTGACTGGTTAGACTTGCATGGTTGTTTTCCTGCTTGGTCCCCCTCTATGGAATTATTTTAAGAATGCCCAGGTCATCTCATGTCCTGGTCTTGAAAACATCCAAGTCTAGTAAGCTCTGTTGAAACTTTTATTGGTTGAAACTTTTGAAGGACGTCCAGGTCTAATAGGTCTTGGAAACGTCCTGGTCTAAACTTTTATTCTCATCAAATCCTTAAAACGTCCAGGGCACTTTGTGCAAGTCCTGAAAACGTTCGGGTCATCTCATGTCCTCGCCAAGTGCAAGTCTTGAAAACGTCCGGGTCATCCCATGTCCTGGTCAAGTGCAAGTCCTAAAAATTCCGGGTCATGTCATGTCCTTGTCAAGTGCAAGTCTTCAAAACGTCCGGGTCATCTCATGTCCTGGTCAAGTGCAAGTTTTGAAAACGTCCGGGTCATCTCATGTCCTGGTCAAGTGCAAGTCTTGAAAATGTCCGGGTCATCTCATGTCCTGGTCAAGTGCAAGTCTTGAAAACATACAGGTCATTTCATGCCCTTAAGAAACAGTTTAAGAACATCCAGGTCATCTCATGTCCTGGTCTCCAGACATGAAAATATCCAGGTCACCTTATGCTCGACTTGTCTTCTGATCCGGTTTACTTCCAGGTTGAAATGTAGTAGACGTCTAGGTTGAATTTTGTCCTTGTCCAATCCCAATGGTTTGGTCATGTTACGTCACCAGTCTTGCCTCAAATTTCTGTCCAGGTGCCGGGTCAAAATGTGACCGGTCAAAAATAAGTTTTTCTAAACTTATCTAATTTCATCAAATCCGAAAATTTAAAAGTGACCGGTCACTTTTTTCAAAGTTGACCGGTCAATTTTAGAATTTTTCCATCCGCCTTTTTCTGTCAATCTAGAACGTTAAAAAAGTGACCGGTCACTTTTCAACCATGCCCTTTTTCTTATATCCATCTGGCCTGCATGTCATGTTCAACACCGACCTTGATCGAACTTCGAATGAATATTTCGAAATAGTTTTTACTTCAAGTCTCAACATCAAGACATGACCCATCTTTGGAGATTTTGACCATGTCCTATGATCTCGAACCCTCTCCAAGGTCCAGCCTTCTTCCAGGCAACACCCTTCTTCCAGGGCCCCTTTTCCAGGTTTTAAGTCTTTTAATGTGTCATTCTCTAATAATTAGGTTGACCTAGCCAACCTAATCTTCCCACATTGGGGTATGCCGGTGAGAACCAGCCCTCATCCAATTGTGCACGTCCATATATTATGTGTTCGGAAATTCTAGTCTTCCCTAGACATTTCGATCCACAAAGGATGGCTCATACAAGACGGCAATATTTTTTTGGCATCTTTTCTAACCCTTCCCGACCAAAAAGTCGGTAGGGATCCATGTAAGTATGGGTGCGAATCCTCTTCCGGATCCAGCCTATCTCAAGGCGATACCTCAACATCAAGGCCCCTATCTCAAGGGTTTCTCTTTTTTTTGCTATCAGCCCATGCAACGATCCAGGTCCTAGACATCAAGACTCATCCGTCTACAGCAAGCTTAGTAATCTTGACCACATCTTATCCACCCTCTCTTCTTTCCCTGATCATATTCATGTGGGTGGATTCAAGTACTTGCTTATGGGTCTTCCTCAAGCCCCGTAACGAATATTTTACCCAATTCCCCTTTCAAGGTCATCTTCCTGAGCACAACCCTCACATTTCGGCAATTTGTTGTGTTGTGAGAGTCAGATTGGTGGTAGGTGAACCAGTTCTCTGTCCAAGGCCGCTTGGGTTGTTCTCCTTTCTTCTCATCCCTTATTTGATGAACAAACCCATAATATGTGGCCCTCGGCTTGGACCCTCCCACCTGGTCATCCTTCTTCGGCTTATCACTTTTCACCTTTGTATAGCCTTCCTGCAGTTCCCGCTTGCTCTTGTTTAGGACTTCCGCCTCGGCATACTCCCATGCTGTATTGTAGGCTTCCTGATAAGAGGAGGGTGGCCTTCTACAAAATTCAGTGTAGAGGTCACCCGACCGGAAGGCATTCATCAGCAAAGACAAGGCTGTCTTGTCGTCCATTTCTTCTACTTTGTCGACCTCGTCCCTCCAGCGAGTTAAGAACTAAGTCAGGGACTCCTTCTCCCTCTGCCCTACCGTGTTAAGGTAGGTGAACTTCTTCCTTTTGATGCAGTTGTCCTGTTACTTCTTGCGAAAAATCTCAGCAAGTTTTTCAAAGGACCTGATCTTACTATGTGGAAGGCTGTTAAACCATTCCACTGGCCTCCCTCTCAAGGATGAGAAGAAGAGTAGGCATTCTTCAGAATCAGTACACCCGGCCATTTGCGCTTTATTATGGAAGGTGTCAAGGTGGACGTTTGGATCCTCCTTTCCAGTGAATTTCTCCATGTCCAGCTTGACCTTCCGCCTTAATTTTTGTGCATGTACCCTGGCTGAAAAGGGTGATTTGGCCAGGGTATGCTTCTTTGCTCCCGCTTTCTCTTCTACCTTTTCCTCTAGGGCACGTAGCTTTCTCTCTATGCTCCCTATTTTGTCCAGGTCATCCTCATCGTATGAGAGCCTGGTATATGCCGATGCTCTGGGCTGGCTTTCAGCTTCCTCCTCGTCTAGGTGAATCGTCTCAGATTCCCTAGAACGACGAGATTGGGCGGGATGACTCCCGCCAAGTCTTTCCATTGCGCTACTCCGGCCCATCTCAGGACCAAGACGTAGCTTGGCAGACTTGGGGGGCCCATCCTCTTTGTCCCCTAGGCGTTTGAACGCCAAATCTCGGGTCTTGTTGGGTTTAGCTATAGCCTTACCCTTCCTTCTGTGAGCCGCCTCCTGCTCCGCCTCGTCGACTTCATGGACATTTGAAGATGCTGCTTCGTTCATGGTCCCCGTCAAATTTACTGGGTGTATAGGGACCATTCTTGGGCCAAATGTTGACGGGGTCGATACCGAGGGTGGCATTTGGCTCATGATAGGTGGTATCATGCCCGGGTAGGCAAATGGCATGAAGCCCCCTGCCTATTGCATCATGGCCATCACCTGTTGATAGCCCTGTAGAGCCTGAGCATTTGCCGGGTCAGCGGCATATTGAGCCAAGCTTGATGGATATGGTGTGAATGCTCCCCCTGGCGTTGATATTGAGCCTGGGAACATTGTCGTCGTTGGCGTAGTAGGGGTCGACATGATTGGGATCATGCCAACTGATCCTACCGTGGTGATTGGGGGAAAGGTCGTCCCCATGCTCGTCATCATCAGTGGGATGGCAGGAGTGCTTTCACTCGCAGCCTGGCTTGAAACAATGTTGTGTTTGCTTGAAGACATGATTGTGGATATTTAGTGGGGGGGAAAAGTTTTGACCTGGTCGGGTCCCACGGTTGGCGCCAAAAATGATGGTGTAAATATAGCTAGGTGGGTTAACCGGGTTTGACCTGGACACGCTTGACCCGTAATATAAAACACAACAAGAACACAAAGTATGACCTAGACCGGGTAAATCTCCTCAGTCCGAATTATATTTCTTACTTTGTCTCAAGAGTGTACTTTTTAGTGAGATAAAGAATGGATCCCCTCCTCTATCCATAATCATCATATTTATAGAGGAGGATTTGTGACCTTCCCCTGTTCATCCATGGACAAAATAGAAAGCTCGTGGGAAGGTCACTGTAGTTAATGGGAACACTGTACAATCATTGATTTCAATAGCTACAAGCCAAGACACTGTTCAATCAAAGACTATAAATGGATATTCTCAATCCAATCAACCCTGCAAGATGACAAACATCCATTTCATTGTATGCCTCGTGATGGATGAGCGGCGGGGTGGTCCCTCGGTCTTTGACGTGGTTCGCCATGCCTAAGAGACTGACCAATGTTAGCCAAGTAATGTCATATAACCGGTCACTTTTTCTCAAAGGTTACCCGGTCGTTTCTTGAGCTCAACCCGTCTCTTTGGTCTTCCGGAATATCCTTCGTAACATTAGGTGATATTTTGGCTATCGCCCAAAATGTGACCGGTCACTTTTTTAAGGGAAGTGACCGGTCAACTTTTGACCCGTCTCAATCGAAGAGTTAACCTCATTTGGTGATTGATGAAAGTGACCGGTCATATTTTGACCTGTCCCTTTTGATTGTCCGGGCCGGGTATAGGGATATACCCATCAATAATAATAATAATAATAATAATAATAATAATAATAGTAATAATAATAATAATAATAATAAAAGGATTAACCGACTATCCATGGAACACTAATAGGACTTGAAAGACTATTTGTGAAACTTTAAAGATTGAAAAACTAGCAATAATGCATAGAAATATTTGCACTAAATAGCACTAAAACTTAAGTCATTTCTCTAAATAGTACTTAGATTGTTTTCTTTCCCTAAATAGAACTTAATAATGTCCATAATGACCAGTGATGTCAAACTTACTTGAATAATGACTAATGGATAATGACTAAAAGTAATATATTGGGAAAAAAACATATGTAGTGCTATTTAGGGAAAGTCATTACGTTTTAGTGCTATTTACGTAAATTCCTCTAATGCATAACGTAATAATTAGAAGGACCCACGATGGAATAATAATAATTCCCTAAAACACACAAAAAAACAAAACAAAAAACAAAATCCTGTAATTTGGCATGTTGATACATATATACCTGCATAGCTTTCCCCAGCAATGTAGAAATTCCTAGTCTTGTATTGTGGGTATCGCTCAAACCAATTTAATAAGAACTTGAGCGAATCTTGAGCTGTGATGAATATGATCCAGATGAGACAAAGGATTCGATGGATCGGATGAGAAAACATGCATTTTCATACTAATTGCAAATGAAAGAGGTATAGGTAGCTGGCTCGATCAGCCATATATATATATATATATATAGTCCCTCCGTCCTGGAAAACAGGAGAGTTTTGATTTTGAAGAGGGATTTAAGGGGAGTATATTTTGGTATTGAATTTCCAAAAATGTTTTTTGATGTGATGGGTAAAAGTATGATTTGATGGATATATTATTAGTAAAAAGGTATGATGTGATAGGTAGGGTATAAAAAAGTAAGGGGTAAAAGTGACTTTTTAATAGAAATGAGAAGTGTTTTTATGGGCGAATGAAAAAAAAAAGGAGAAAGGTTTTCAGGGACGGAGGAAGTATTATTTATTACCAGTCCTCTTGTCTCCGGATTCAACAATGTCAGAGGAAGTGTTGGAATAAGAGAAACCAACACCAGCTGGGGACTCCAGAAATAACACATTTGCAACTGCAACATATAGTTTTATATGATACATATGTCGTTTCTGTCAAATCTGAGCAATAAATAGTACTAAAACTGTCTTTTTTCAATGTAATACTTAACGCAAGCTTTGAGACATGGGCGGCAGAGTGGACAGACCTCTATTCCAGGCAAACTTTCTGGCGTAGAGAGTATTGGCGTCGGGATTGACACCAAAAGGACCGATCTCAAGAAAGGCGCCGGCGCCGAGGGACGAGCAGCCGGGGCCTCCATTCAACCATAGGACCAGTGGTCTGGTGTGAGGCTCCTTTCTTGACTCAGCAAAGTAATAGAAAAGGCTTCTCCCATTCCTTTTGTCCACATTCACATACCCTCCATACTGCTTGAAGGATATTGGCTTCCCGCCGCCGCCGCTTGGCTGCCCCGGAAGGCCGCCTCTAATCTCATCATCATACATGGAGGAGCCGCCGCCGCCGCTTCCCTCGTCCCCTTCCGGAATTGATAATAATTCATCCCATTCTTCTTTAGTTGCAGTGCTTGTTTGTAAATTATGCTGACCGAATGCTGTGTTTTTAGCACGGCCATATAATATTCTCTCGCCATGCCCAAACTCGGAGTGTATTGTCACAAGAATGGCAAGAAACAAGAATACTTTCTTCTCCATGTATACCTATTTTTGTTATTGTAACTAAACAAGTTTAGATAGGAACTACTCTTTTAATTATATTTGTGAAGAGAAAATAATTAAGCTAGGTGTGGTTTTATATATGTATATATATAGTGCTCCATATAGGGCCTGTTTGGAAATAGCTTTAGAGGTTAGCGTTAGCGTTTTGGATAAAATTTTAACGGTGCAGATCACTTTGAAAACGCTAACGCTAAACGCTGCCCGTAGATAGCTTTTTTAAAACGCTAACGCTAATCGCTAATGTTGTTCCCAAATAGGCACATAAACTTACAACCATTTGATTTTTTTGATGACCTGAGGTTAATCTTGTAATTTAACTTAGATCCATTGTTTAAGGGCCTCTCTAATGACTATGGATATCCCATCTCTTGATATCAGATTTTAACATATCACAAATTTTTTAAATAACAAAGTTTTAAGAAAGAAAGTGGCCTCTTATCTTTTATTTTAGTTCAGGGCATATTCTGTGGTGGACCTAAAGTCTACCATGAACCTACATATTTAGTAAAATAAGAATTTTCTTATTATTTAAATAAACATCTATTTTCTTAATTAAAAAACGAAAAAAAGATTTTTTTTATGTGAGAAGGTCTACAAAAATGATATGGCACTTAAGGTACACTAAAAAAACACTCTTAGTTCAATAAGTACCAGATTGAAATTTAAAAAAAAAAAGTCCAATTTTACGCAAATTTGAAGAAAAGTTTTATTTGTACCAAAGTAAACAAATTAATCCTTCAAAAAAAGTAAACAGAATAAAAGTTTGGGAATCAAAAGTAATTGACAATAAATCTAGCAATGACTTAAGAGCAATTTACCTAAATAAGACTAAAACATAATGACTTTCCCAATATAAGAGATATGTTTTTATTTCCTAATGTATGACTTTTGGTCGTTACTGGACATTATTCCTTCCACTAAGACATTAATAAGTCCTATTTAGGGAATAAAAAAATTTAAGTCCTAAATTTGAAAAGTCATTATATTTTAGTCCTATTTAGTACAAAATTCACATGACCTTAATAGTTAATACTTCCTCTAAGAATAAACTGCCATTTAGTGATTTTTTTGATGAGCTGAGGTTAATCTTGTAATTCAATTTAGATCCATTTCCAAGTCAAGGTCATTCACGATAGTAACTTTTATGTTCTTCTCTCCTTACTTTAACATTATGTTTGATTCAAGGAATTTGAGAGAGAAATGAAAAGAAAATAAGAAGAAAAATATTTTTATTCTTTGATTAGAGAGAAAAAGAAAAAAAAAGTGAGAGGAAAAGAAAATCAGAAGACAAAAACTATCAAGGGGAGGGAAAACATTTCCTCCAAGTTTGATGAGGAAAATAAAGGAAAATTATTTTCTTTTCTTTTCAAATTCCTTGAACCAAGCATAGTGGAAGCGCCCCTCTCTCATAATTCTAAATAGAAGTAAAACATAGAGAAAGAGCTCCTATTTTGGTACCTCCTTTATGTTTTAGTCTTATTTATGATGATTTTTTAACGATTATTAAACATTTTATTTACATGCTATTCTTCTAAATAATTATAAATAATCGAAAGCATTTACTTTGACATTTATAAAATTATATTCATAGTTTTAAGTATTACATTGTCATTAAAATTTAAAATATTCTTCTATAATTAATGTATTTTTATTTTGAAAATGGACCAATTTGATAGAACACCAAATTAGAAAGTACGAGTATCATTTTGGGAAAGTAGCATAAAATATAACGTCATTTTAACACCCTTTTAACGACCTTTAGTTGGGGGACAGAACTGAGCATTATTTTCAATTTACGAGTACCGCCTTGAAAATTAATTAATTCTATGGACTAATTTGAGAAAAAACATAATTGTTGAAAAACCATTGTGAAAAATAAGTCGATGCTTTGACCAATTTCATTCCATATGCAAATGGGGAGGGGAAGGGAACATTTCCACATGTGCATTATTATGTACTCCGTATTTTCCTTCTTTTCCTCACTTTTCCTGTATTTCTTCCCCTATTTCTTCTTATACTCGATCTCTTCCATTATATTCCTATGTCCTTGAAAGAAGTTCCTCTTCCATTTTTTTTTGTCCCACAAAAATGTTTTCTTTTCTATTAAAAAATCATTTTTATCTCTTACTTTTTTATATCATATCTATCACATCATACCTTTTTACTAATAATCTATCCATCACATCTTACTTTTATCCATCATATCAAGGATATTTTTGGAAAGTTAACACCAAAATATCCCTCCTTTAACTTTCCAAAAAGTCAATAAGGGAACTTCTTTCGGGGACGGAGGGAGTATTGGGCTATATGTTATGGCGGACTTGACGGATTTGATGAGGTGTAAAGATATATAATATAGAGTCATAAAAAAATGTGTGTTATCGTAAATGTGATGAAAAACGATAAAATTTGAATATGTGTTAAATTTTGATTAGTTAGAATATTAAAAAAGAAGAAAAAATAAAGGAGGGGAGGGACAACGCCCGTGAACAGGGTGACAATAAGAGGGGAAACGCCCCTTTCACTTGGGCAAAAATTAAGAAGGATTGTTTGGAGTTGATTTTCCAAATTTACCCTGATGCATAACAATAAGATGTGATAGATAGATTTTAGTGATCTCAAAAAGAGTGGCTACGGAAGCCACTCACCCAATTGGGACACCTACGGTGCTCCGTTCGCAAAATTGATAGTTCCTACCCCTCTAACCCCCTGATAAATCCCCCACCCGGTACCGATCCCAACTCATCTCCATAACCACGTCAATTGCGGAGTGCAAGTTTAGTTGACTTTGTAGTCAAAACTTTTGACTTTAAAGTCAATTATATTTACGGGATGCAATTGACGTAGGTGGGGGATGATTTGGGGTCGGGACTTGGCAGGGGGTTTACGGGGGATTAGGGGGTAGAAATTATCAATTTTATGAACGGAGCTCCGTAGGGGGGCAGTGGCTTCCGTAGCCACTAAAACCCAGTGGCCACCGAACCGGGCCGAGAAAACATAGTGGTAAAAGTGATTTTTTAATAGAAAGTAAAAGTGTTTTAGGAAAGACAAAAAGAATATAAGAGAAATGATTTTAAGAAACGAGGAAGGATAATAATTTTAAATCTCTCCAAACAATCTCATTTCAAATTTCAAAACTCATACATATTATCATTTTTCAGTGACTTCACAATTCATATCATATCTCTAAAACTTAGGAGTATTAAAGAGAGAGTAGTTTTTCTTTTCTTTTATGACGTGGCTTTTTTGGGTTTAAATGTGAACATACTGTGGAAATTCCCACACCTTTTTTTAAAGAAGGAAAGTGGTATCTTATCTTTTAGTCCAGTACCTACCAGGCTACCAGAATGAAATTAAAAAAAAAAGTCCAATTCTACACAAACACGGAGTATGAAGAAATGTTTTATTTGTACCAAAGTAAACAAACTAATCCTTCAAAAAAGTAAACAGAATAAAAGTTTGGGAATCAAAAAAAGTAATTGACAATAAGTCACTATGACTTAAGGCCTGTGGTAATGGGAGTGACGCCCACCGCCACCGGCATCATCCTTTTTTTTAACACCTGGGGCGTTAAACACCGCCCCCAAGGGCTTCAAACCGGCGTCATCGGTTCAGCGTCAAAGGTTTGATGCTTTCTTCTCTTTCCCCAACAGCCAAAAACAGCTACTATAACCCTTAACCCAAAAAAATTCTAAATTCAAAAAATAAACCTATAAATTGCACTCAAAACAAACCTATCTCTCACTATCTTCTCTCTACAATTCTATCAATTTTTCAAATATTTGATTATTTATTATAAATATTTATAAAATATATTTTAAAAATGGGATCATCTTCATCCAATGATAAAAAAAGAGCTCTCATTTTTCGTTGTTTCGCCACGAGTTGTGTTCAATGGTGGGAACTATTAGGAAGTATAATTAAATTAGGATACTTCTTTCCTTTCCTACTAAGATTATTCTTTCCTTTCCTACTTGTACTTTGATTACTCTTGTATTTCCTATATATAGGGCCATATCTCTCAATATTCAATAAGACAAGTTATTATCAAATTGTATCATGGTATCGGAGCTAAGGCTCTCAAAAACCTAGCCTCTCTTTTTTCCGACCGCCGCCCACCATGGCAGCCCCGTCGGATCCTTTGGCGTCCTTACCCTCCGGAGTAAAACTTTTGCTTCGGAGTCTCCACAACTTAATCCCAGAAAAACTCACCGAAACAAATTATCCGGCATGGTCTCTCAATGTCCAGACAGCTCTTTCAGCTAATCTCCTCCTTGGATGGATTGATGGTCATGAAGCAGCCCCGGCGCCAACTATCTCCAAAAACGATAAAATCGTCCCTAATCCAGAGTATACCTCCTGGACCATCGTTGACACACAGATCCGCGCCTGCCTCCTAGCGGTCATCAGCCCCTCCGTTCACAAACATGCTCGCGGCTTCACCACATCTGCTGCCCTCTGGGATGCTTTGGCCGCACGGTACAACTCTGTGTCCACCGCTCATGTTTATCAGCTTCGGGACAAACTCCACACTCTTCGTAAAGGTACCAAAACTATGACACAATACCTTGATGATGTGGCAACTATTCTCTCGGATCTCGATGCCTTGAAAGAAGAGATCCCTGAACGTGATGTGGTGAATGCTGTTATTCGTGGTCTTCCCACCGAATACTCATCCTTTAAGCAAAACATTCGCATGAACAATACCAATATTTCGTTAAATCAGCTTTCTGGATGGCTGATCTCCGAAGAAATAAACCTGGAGATGGAGAATAAACTCA